TTCTTTGCTATGATGAACTGTGACCTGGGATATGTAAGCTAAATAAACCCTTTCCTCCCTAAGTTGGTAGTGGTCAGAGTATTTTGTCACAGTAATGAAGAAATAAACCTAGACAATCTCCTAACAAAAATAATATTGCCTCAGGAATGTTATGATGATCAAAATGAGATGAAATATCTAAATTTCTTGATGTGTAATAACTGTGTAATAAATAATAATGTTTCTATTCACCAAGAAATAATGTTATTTTATTTTGATGCCTATCCTGTTTATTCTAGAAATGACATAGATACTCTGTTCTTTTTAATTTTCAAACCATTAAGAAACTATTAAAACTGCTGTTGTGGATGCATGGGGACTGTAGAAGTGTGTTGGTCTAGCTTGCAAAAGGCCCTGGAGTCATCTCCCCCAGCACTGCAACAACAAAAAAAATCTAAACATTTAACTTACCCCACTATAATTCTTTAGAGGAAATCATTACGTACAGCTTTTCAACTTTCATATTCAAATTTTATGTTCTATCACTTATTCATCAAAGGCACTTGGCTTATGTTGAGTACCTTCCATAATTCAGGCTCTGTTCAGTAGAATTGACAGTGAGTGAAACAATCAGATCCCTGTCTCAAAACTCACATTAAAGCACAGGAGGTAAAAGTGATAGTGAGGTGAATCCTTCATAAGACAAATCATAAATATGTAATATATTAGAGGATGGAAGTGTTTAAGTTAAATGTTGGGCAAGTGTCGGGATGGAAGGGCAGCAAGTTTATACGGGGTGCTCAGAGAAATCTCCTCAGAGAAAGTCTGAAGGAGGTAAGAGAAGGAGCCAGGGCATTCTTTGAGGGAACAGTGCCCAGGCAAAGGAAAGAGCAAGTGCCTCCTCCTAACAAAGGACCTGATACGGCTTGGTAGAAAAAGCAGGGAGAATCCCAGGGAATATGGTCAGAGAGAAAGAGAGCAAGTCATCTTTACTAGACGTAGAGGGGAATTCCCGGAGAATTCGCAGAGTGACACAATCTAACTTGTATTTCAATGACTGCTGAAAAAAGATGCTAAGAAGGAAAAGGCCCAACCTGGCAACTCACAGAGAGGGAGGGGGAATGCGGGAGGGAACATTACTGGGGCCAAATGTTCCCTAGCAGTCAGCAGGATAAGGACCTTGAACTTGGTACAGCAGCATGTGGTGGTCGCCAACGGTGTGGGTGGACCAGCTTCACAGTAATTGTGGGGATGAAAACCTAACTAAAGTGGACCCCAGGGAGAGTGAATGAGAGAAGAACTGAAACCTGTAGATTAGAAATGGAATCACACCCACATTCCCAGTTCATTTGATAAGCTTTTGATGGTTTAACGGTATCACCAATACACAAAGTTTTGCTGCATGTATGAGGGCATGCACATGCCACTGCACACATGTGGAAGTCAGAGGACAACCTCAGGTGTTGATCCTCACCTTCCACCTCCTTTGAGACAGGGTCTTTTGTTGTCACTCTGTTTGCTAAGTTAGTTGGCCCATGAGCTTCCGGGAGTTTTCCTGGCTCTGTCTTCCATCTCTCCATAGGATTCTTGGGATTATAGATAGATGCTATCACATGTGGCTTTAAGCAGATGCTGGGATCCAAACTAAAATTTTCATGTTTATGCGGCAAACATTTTACCCAGTGAGCCATGCCCCCAAACTCAACAGTTTTAGATATTTTTTAAAACATTATTGTGCTTGTGTGTGTATGTACATGATGGGAGTACATGCCATGACACACATATAAAGGCCAGAGAAAAACTTTGAGATATTGGTCCTCTCCTTCCACCTTTACATGAGTTCCAGGGATCGAACTAAGGTCTCCAGTCTTGTGTAGCAATCACCTTTACCCTCTGAGTCATCTCTCTGGCCCTTAGTCTTATTGACAAGTCAAAGAATATAAATAAAACACTCACTTGTTTTGACCACCATGCCTAATCCAGAGGTTACTACTATTATGCTGGTATTTATCTTTCCAAATACTTTTCTACACTTTTATATTCAGATAGAAATATGGCCAATAGTTTTACCCTTTTCTTGTTGTTTGTATAAATAACATCGCACTGAATATGTTGTTCAATTTGCTTTTTCACTGAATATGCATGGAAAGTTTTAGCAGGCCAGTAAATACAGATCTTCCTCACTGGTTTTATTTATTTTATTTTATTTATTTTGGTCTTTTGAGACAGGGTCTCCCTGTAGCCCCGACTTGCCTGGAAAATCAGGCTGGCCTCCAACTCAGAGAGATCTGCCTGCCTCTGCCTCCCAAGTACTGGGATTAAAGGTGTGCACCCCTACACCTGTGCCTGTGTCTTCATTACTGGTTTACTTGTTGTATAACAGTGTGTAGTATAGATGGACAGTTGCTTACTGAAAGACTTCCTAATTGATGAATAAAGTCATTCCCAAATTTCCCCTTCCATGGTCTTTTGGTAGGCTGATTCCTCTTTGTATACACACCTAAGTATTTCTCTAAGACACATACCAAGTGTTCTAGTTACATTTTTGTTCCTCTGATAAACATTCTAACCAAAAGTACCTTAGGAATAGGTTTATTCAGCTTTCAGGTCACAGTCTGTCATTGAGGGCAGGAACTCCAGCAAGAACTTGAAGCAGAAACCATGCAGGAACACTGCTTCCTGGCTCACTAGCAGGATCATGCTTAGCTTTCTTATATAGCCCAGGACCACCTGCTGGGGGGAATGGAGTCACCCAAAGCAGGCTGGGACCTCCCACATCAATTAACAATCAAGGCAACCTTCCATAAACATGCCCACAGGTCAGTCTGATGTAGGAAATCTCTCATTTGAAATTCCCTTCTCGGGTGACTCTAGGCTGTATCAAGTTGATAGTTAAAGCTAATTAGAACACCAAGAAAGCAGCATTAATATGGGAAAAGTTGCGTCATAACTATTTTCTTTCTAAAGAGCTGACCCAATGTATGTCTCTACCAAAGGAAATGTTGAAACCACCCCTTTCCCACCCTTCTCAGTATTTTATTGTTGCTCTTTTAATATTTTTATATTCTAGCAGTTAGAAATTGTACCATATCTTATTATTGGGTTTCTTTTTTTTTTTAATCTTTTTGAGACAGGGTCTCCTTATAGTCCCAAATGGCCTAGAACTCACTATGTAGACCAGGCTGGTCTTGAACTCAGAGATTCTCCTGCCTCTGCCTCCTGAGTGCTGGAATTAAAGGTGTGCACTACCATGCCTGGCTCTTATTATTGTTTTTTAATGTTTTATTATTTTTATTTTATTTGTATGAGTGTATTGCATGCATGTATGTGGGTACACCCCTGTTGTACGATGCCCGTAGAGGTCAGAAGAAGGTGTCAGATTCCTTAGAACTGGAGTTATAGTTGTTAGCTGCTATGTGGGTGCTGGGAATCTAACCTGGGTTCTCTACAAGAGCAGCCAGTCCTCTTTACTGCTGGGGTATCTTTCCAGACCCACATATCTTATTATTGTTAAGGTCAGAGTCTGGGCCCTGGCAGCCCTAACAAACCCGGCTTGACCACCCTCAAAAGGGTGGTTTGGCTGATTAAACAAGCCAATTATAGCAAAAAGCAAGTAAAGGATATTTATTTAATGTAGACACTTTGAGAAGAGGAACAAGAGTTTCAGTTGGTCCTCCGGCTCCCATGAAGTCCATCTCTGGGGTTCTGACATGAGGAAGAGAATCACTTTGAGGATCTCCTCTCTATTCTGAAGCCAGGTTTGACTGTCCAGGTTTGGTTCTAGTGGGCTCAGGTATAATGCAGGACCTGGGGCACATGTGGTAAACCTAAATGGTGTCCTTACGGTGCCATATCCACCATCTTACAGAGTGCACAAACAGAGAGGGGCACAGTTACCTCCACCCAGATCTCAAAGAGGGAGCCCCCTGGAATCAGCGTCAATGACTCTGAGAGAAAACTGCTTCAAGGGCAAGGCTGCCACCCCATTGGATCTGGGAGGTGAGGTCTTTGTCCCAAAGGACCTAGAAAGCGGAATATGGAGCCAAAGAAGATTGTTCTTGAACCTTAGACTGAATATGATTTTCTCTATCGGGGTCAGCCTCCTTTAGGACCCCTATTCCTTTATTCTTTCCTGATTCTCCCTTTTGGAGTAGTGCATCTTTCCTATATCTATTCCACCATTATGTTTCAGAAGTATTTATTTGATTTCATAGATCTACAGCTGAAGAATAAGTTGCCACAGCATGTGTCATACCTTGCATCTTACCCTCACCTGATATAGATGATATTAGTGAGACTTTGGATGTGAACTTTAAGGTAGAATGTTGAACGGGTTAAGACTCTGGGGGCTACTGATCTGGAATGAATGCATTTTGCATGTGAGGAGGATATGAAGGTTAGGGGCCAAGAATGTGTGTGCCCCAACCTCTGAATTCATATGTTGAAACCCAGTAACGTTTGGAGGTGGGAACCTTTGGACGAGTATTCAGTTGTTAGGGCTCCACCCTCACAAATGGTATTAGAACCCTTAGAAAAGGACCAGAGAGCTGCCTTTCCCATTCTACTTCATGAGGACACAGCTAGAAGTCAACATCTATGAGCTAGGAAGCAGGCCATCACCTGACAACAAATCTCTGGACACCTTGAGCTTGCATTATTCCAGCCTCCAAAACTGTGAGAAAGAAATTTCTCTTTCATGGCATTTAATTGCAGCAGCCAAATGAACTGAGACAGCATGGCTGCCTTGCCGTGTTGGGAATCATTGATCTAGTTCTCTGAAATGACCACCCAGCATTCCCTCACATGGACAAGTCAGGTCATTAGTCATAGCAAGCAAGGTTGGTTGTGTTATTGAGCTCAGATAAGGCCTTAAATCTTTGTGCACTGATTTTTATACTTCATTCAATGTTACGTCTTAAAACATATTTAACATTTCTTCAGATACACACATCACCTGAGCCTGTCTAAACAGCAGCTCCTCCTGTCCCTGAAAGATCCTCTGGCAAAGGGGATCTTTCACATCTCAGCAGCTTTCTTCCTTTGCCTCTGATTGGTTTCATCATTCCAATTCTAGTTGCTTTAAACCTGGGAATTTACTCGAAGTGGGTGGTGTGTTGATGGCCTCCTTCCCCACATCTAGAGGCATTCAGGAATCTACAGAGGGAGGAATCCTGCTGGCATAGTTTACTATTCGACCTCCCCAGCACTCTCCTACATGAAAAATCTCAGTGAGGTCACAGACATAAAACAGAGGGTGCTGAACAAAAGGGATGAAAGGAGTACAGAGCACAATCACGACTAAGATATTCACCCACGGACCATGGGGCCAACAGGGAACAAGACACATTTACATCTGATACACAGTGCTTTTTCTCTGCTTCTAATGTTAATGCAATATTCAGAAAAGGGAATAATTAAAAAATGAAACAAGGGGCTGGAGAGATGGCTCAGCGGTTAAGAGCACTGACTACTCTTGCAGAGGACCCGGGTTCGATTCCCAGCACCCACATTGCGGCTACAAACTGTCCTTAACTCCAGTTCCAGGAGAATCCAAAGTCCTCTTCTGACCTCCTAGGCATTGCACGACATGGGTGCACTCACATACATGCAAGCACTACACTCATATACACAAAATAAAAATAATAGCCAGGCATGATGGCGCACGCCTTTAATCCCAGCACTTGGGAGGCAGAGGCAGGTGGATCTTTGTGAGTTCAAGGCCAGCCTGGTCTACATGGTGAGTTCCGGGACAGCTGGGGCTACAGGAAGACCCTGTCTCAAAAAGACAAAAAATAAATAAAAAATAAAAAAATAATAGAATATTGAAATGAAACAAATACCGTTTAAGCACTTATTTTTCTGTGTCATTTTTTTCATATTCAAGTTATTTCTCCTTTATCAAGATTTATGATAAGTGTATGTTCTTTCCTTTTTATTTTTAAAGAAATAAAACCATCATCCTTTGAAGTAAAGGAATCGATATCAGAATGCCTGGCTTCTAAGTTAAGAAGTAAGTGGATATTTTACCCACATCCCCTTTTGCTGGAGACACAAATTGCCAGTAAGGAACTGACCTCTCAGCACAGTGCTGAGAATATATATAGGCAGATAGTGGAAACAAAGGGGTGTATAATTATGTGTGTGTGTGTGTGTGTGTGTGTGCACGCACGCACGCGCCTTGTGTTTGAGTGAGACAGGCCAAGAGAATGAGGTGGGAAAGAATCTCCAAACTAGACAGAAGTGGAATGCACTGCACAAAAGTTTCAATTTGTCCCTCTGAATCTATATCTCTTCTCTTCAGGAAAATGGGTAATTAATCCAGAAGAGCCCGAACTAAGCATTTTATGTGAAATGGAGGTAAGAACTATGTATCATATAACAACTAGCACCTTGTCCTTGCTGTAAAAGAAACTTAGCTAATCTTCAATGTTTTTCTCTTCTTAACATTTAGTTTAAGGATGACTTTGCAGCATTATTTGTGCATCCTCTAAGAACACTACCCAGCATCGGACCACCACCCATTCTGTCATACAAAAAAGAGAGTTTCAACTTGGGCATTAGTTTCAAGGTGATTTTAACTCATGTTTTCATTGTTACTGTAAAATGCTTTAAAGGCCCACACAATGACTGGCATGATAGACATGAAGATACTTTAAAAGAATAAAAGCAAAGAGCTCATTTATTTGGAATAGCACTTAGAGTAGTTTCTAGAGATACTTTAACAAAGTACTACAGAGTGACTTAAAAGTATTGCCTTGTAATTTTAGAGGCCGTAAGTCTAAACTTAGGGTATCAGCAGAGCCCCTGTAGAAGAATGCTCCTCACCTCTTCCAGCTTCAAGGGTTGCAGGAAGAAGCATAGGCAATACACAGCAGGCAGCCTTGCCTAGTAGCTTCACTCCTCATCCCTGCCTCAGTATTGACTGGCCTCTCGCTCAGTCTCTAGGTCCAAAGGTCCTTTTCTTCTGAAGACAGTAGGCCCGTTCCAATAACCTCATCTTACTTTGGTTACTTTCGTAAAGACCAAATAAGGTCACAGTCTCAGGTTTAAAAGTTAGAACTTCAACATATCTTCTAGGGAGGCACAACTCAATCCATAATAGTGGCCATAAAGTCTGCAAATACAGGTGAACCTTTGCCATGTTTAATGACATTCGGTGACCAAAGAATGTTCTTAATGAGATAAAGATTTCCTTAGTAATTCCAGTAGGACAGGGCGCCACCTCCCACACCACAATGATGAAGGGAAGGCTGGTACAGTGATTATTCCCGAACCTGAATTGGATGTGGGCAGGTGGAAAGAAACATATTCCCCATATGAATCCCCTTGAAGACTTCTGGGGTTCACTAAACACCGGTTTACACATGATTAAGACGATCAGTTGTGCAAGTCAGAGCATCACAGAAGCATGAACAGGACTGATGAGATCCTATGTGGACGCACTGTTGCTATCCTCCACAGTAATCAAACTGCAGCATTGACCAAGGGCAATAAATTAAACACCATATGATATAGTACCAATAAGCATTTGCTGAGCCATTTACCCAGGTTCCTAAACTTGATGGTCATGCTATCAATGCCTCAGGCTGAAATTCTTTAGCCATAGAGCTTTCCTTTCTCTGAGAAAGTCAGAGAAGTCTCGAGCTGGTGGGGTTCCAGGCTTCTCTGACTCCCAGAGATGGGTCTGAAAGAACTTGTGGCTTCTTCTCCAGGGAGATGGCCCACACTGGTACCTGGATAGGGCTCGCTCCTCTGGTTCTGTGGGCAGATCTTGCAGGTAGCACTGACATTAATCTGGTCCAGGGGTAGTAGCTGGCCTGCCCGGTTCTCCTCTCTGGTCACCCCTCATCAGGTACAGATTCTGATGCCACTCAGTCTTTTAAAGAACCTCTACTTTGTTTTATTCTCTGATGAAGAAGTGAAGGAATCACGAGACAAAGAATGCACTACCAAGTCCCTCGTATGGCAATGGCCTGGTATTGCCAAGACCAGTTGTGTATACACCTCTATTCCCCACAAAGGACTCTGGGATCACCATTTCTGCAACTTTCTTCTTACGATGGACTTGCACAGCTCTTGAGGGGCCTGGCTCTGTTCTGGTAGATAGGACCAGTAAGGAGCACTCAAAATACATCTCAGGTTCTTTAGTTTTCTCTAACCCTTGTATAGAGGTGATGACACAGGTTAGACTACACAGATCTCACTGGCTACAAGTATTTCTGTGACACTCATTCTCAAATAAGTTGGTACATTTCCCATTGCCTCTATAGTCGGGCTGGATAGTCACTGCCCAGAGCCCTACTCCTGAAGCAGGGGCGATGAGGCTTCCTGGAGGCACTTCTTTACCTCTCTCCCTCTCTCTCTCTCCCTCCCTCCCTCTCTCTCTCTCTCTCTCTCTCTCTCTCAAGGATGAAGATGAGTTATTGCCAAAGTGTGAATTTTGTGGAAGTGATCTACAGTCATTTCTTTCCAATGTGGATATTTGGTCTGACAGCATTCGCAATGAAAAAGGTCGTGTAAGTTAGTTCCAAAGCAGGTTGACTGAGGAATTTGTGTCATTTTTAAGCATATGTACTGGTTCCCCTGCTTTTTTCTCTTACATTGTCATCCCCAAAGGGGTTTGTGTTAGCTGTCCAGGAAACAGCAATCACAACTACATCACACCTTCTGGGAAAGACTGATACCAACATGTGTTGGCCAAGTTGTGGAGAAACTAACCCATTACATTGCTGGGGGAGAACAGAAAACAGCATAGCCAGCCTGGTGTGTAACACACACACCTGTAATCACAGTACTCAGGAGGTAGAGGCAGGAGGATCAACAACTCAAGGCCAGCACAAGCTACATAGCAAGTTCAATGTCAGTTTGATGTACATGAGGGCCCATTGAGAGAGAGAGAGAGAGAGAGAGAGAGAGAGAGCGCAAAGAGAAAAGGGAGGGGGCAGAGCAAAGGTAGGAGGGAGGGAAAACTACATCTACTTTGGAAAACCATCTGGAAATGCCTTGAAAATTTTGATATTTAGGTTGGTGCAAAAGTAATGGGTTTTTTTTTTCCATTATTGAACATGGAAATTTGCCATTTGATACTGGAATACATTCTTAATAAATGTGGGCATGTTACACATCATTTTAATATGAATTTCTCACTTTTTCCTCATTTGTTGCTGTTTATTTCGTATTTATTTTGTACTATGAAAATGATGGTATGCAGAAAGCAAATTTGAACGATTTTTGTTATTGGAGTTCAAAATGGGCCGTAAAGAAGCAGAGACAACCTGTAACATCCAACAACACATTTGGCCCAGGAACTGCTAAGGAGGATTCAGGGCAGTAGAGGTTCCAGAAATTTTGCCAAAAAGATGAGAGCCTTGAATGTGAGGAGTCGAATGGCCAGCCATCAGAGGTTGACCGTGACCAACCATTCAACCATCATTCAGCAGTAAGTCTGATTGGAAAAGTGAAAAGAAGTGAGCCTTGGGAGCTGGCTGAAATTTTAAACTCATCAATCTTGAATCGTCTTCCTTTCTTACTCTATGCAACAATAATTAACTATTTCTCAATCAAATTATGAGATGCAACAAGAAGTGGTGTCAGATATGGTGGTGTCTACTTTTAACCTCGGCACCCGGGAGGCAGAGGCAGGCAGATTTCTGTGAATTGAGGCCAGCCTGGTCTATATAGTGAGTTCCAGGCCAGCCAGGGCTACTAAGTGTGGCCCTGTCTTCACAAAAATTAATTGTATGTGAAAATGAGTGATACCCAGCTTTATGATTAGACCAAGAAAAAGCTCCAAAGTACTTTTCAAAGCCAAACTTGCACCAAAGAAAGGTCATGGTCATGGTCAGTATTTGGTGGTCTGCTGCCATTTTCTGAATCCTGGTGAAATGAATGGATCTGAGATGTATGCTCAGCAAATCAATGAGATGCACCAAAAACTGCAATGCCGATAGCTAGCCATTGTTCAGCAGAAAACGCCTAATTCTTTCCCACAACACCTGACTGCACATCACACCACCAATGCTTCAAAACTTGAATGAATTGGGCCGTGAAGTTCTACTCCGTTGTCTTAGCTACTTTCTATTGCTGCTGATAAAAACACTCTAACCAAAACCAAACTGGGGAGGAAAGGGTGTATTGGGCTTACAGCACAGTTCATCCTCAGTGGAAGTCAAGGCAGGAAGTCAGGGCAGGAGCCTGGAGCACAGACTGTGGAGGAACGCTGCTTACTGGCTTGCTCTTCCAGCCCATGCTCAGCCTGCTTTCTTATACAACACAGACCCACCTGCCCAGGGGTGGCAGAACCCACAGTGGGCTGGGCCCTCCCACATCATTCAAGAGTCAAGAAAATGCCTCACAGACATGGCCACAGGCCAGTCCAATGGAGGCAATTCCCCAACTGAGGATCCCTCAACCCAGGTATGTCAAGTTTGATAACTAAAGCTATCCAGCACACTTATCCACCATATTCATCTGACCTCTCACCAACTGAATACCGTTTCTTCAAGCACTTAGATAACTTTTTGTAGGGAAAATGCTTCCATGTAGCCAAAAGGATACAGAAAATGCTTTCTAAAAGCTTGTCAAATTTCAAAACACAGATTTTTATGCTCAGGGTTAAGCAAACATTTCTCTTCGGCAAAAAAAAAAAAGTATTGATTGATGTGGTTTCTATTTTTATTAATAAAGATGTGTTTGAGCCCAGTTATGATTTAAAATTCATGCTCCAGAACTATAGTTCCTTGTACACCAACCTATGCAGATACCAAATGATCCAGTGATTCTCTTCCTGGGTTTGCACATAAGAAAATGGACAACATATGTCCACACGAAAACTTGTAAACAAACAAATCCTTGATATGCAAAAGTAGAAATGTGTATCTATACAATCAGATATTATCCAGACAGACAGAAGTCCTGAAAACATTATGCTAAGTGAAAAAGCCAGTCACAAAATACAATATGCTGTGTGGCTCCATGGGTATAAACCACGAAGACCAGGCAAATGTGGAGAAACAGGAAGTAGATGAGGGCTGAGGATGTAGCTGGTGGTGGTCTGCTTGCCTACCATGCACAAAGCCCTGGGCACTGTCTGCTGCTGCTTAAGTGGGCCATGGTGGCACATGCCTGTATTCACAGCACTCAGGAGGTGGAGGCAGGGGAGTCAGAAATTCCAAGTCATTTTTGGCTAGGTAGAGAGTCTGAGGCTAGCCTGGGGATACATGAGACCCTGTCTCAAAAACAAAGGAGGCTGGAGAGATGGCTCAAGAATTAAGAGTACGGGTTGCTCTTGCAGAAGACCTGGGTTCCATTCCCAGCACCCACATGGTGGCTAACAACCTTCCAATAACTCCAGTTCCAGGGGATCCAGCGCCCCCTTCTGACCTTCTTGGGCATTGCAAGACACTTACATACACTCAGTCTATACACTCGTATACATAAAATAATAAAATATTTAGTAAAAGAAACACAGAAGGACGCAGATTCGTGGTTTGCGGAGGAGGCATAATGACTATGAAGGGTACAGGGTTCATGTTCTAAAACTGATTGTGGTGACAGTCGCTCTGAATATACTAAAAAACACTTGAAACTAATCTAAATGGGTGAACTATGTGAATTTATTAACAGAAGAAAAATGTCATGAGCACTTGTTACCGTCACCTCATTGGTCGTTTGGGCTATTGTCCCTCTGATCCTCTTCACCCAACACTGAGGAGAAGATAACAGCTCTTTGTTTTTCAGACCTGCTGTCTTCAGTTCCAAAACCTTGTGGACTACATCTGTGAGGAAAAGCTAAACACCAAAAGCCCTAAACTTGAATTAATCAGCATTAAGCCTCACGCAGCCCATGGCAACGATGTTGATAGACTCAAGGCAAAGGAGAAAGCCCTGCAGAGGTAACACATTGCCTGGGCTGAACCCAGACAGGCCGAGCTAAGCAAAGAGCATCTCATAAAAAATCTTGGTTCCTCAAAATATGTAATTATAAGGACAAGATCCCTGTAAAGAAATAAGAATTGGTTAAAGCAAACCCATTATAATTCCTGCTGAATGTCCCAAGATTCAGAAGTTCCCAGAAGAGATAAGGATATGGCTCAGGAGGTGCGCGCTTTCCTATCATGCAAGAGACCATGGGTTAAATCCCCAGCACACATACATATACACACTAATAAATAATAACAATAATAATGAGAGAGAGAGAGAGAGAGAGAGAGAGAGAGAGACACTCAGGAACTCAAGTGAGCCCAGTGAGCTCAGTGATTTCAAGTAGAAATTGCTGCCCAGCATGGTGGCACATGCCTGTAATTCCAGCAAACAGGAAGCAGAAGGAGGAGGATCTCTGTGAGAGGAAGGCCAGCCTGGTCCAGACCAGCTGGGGCTACAGAGAGACCCCATCTCAAAAAATAAAATAAAGCCGAAATTTCCCATCATAAATTACCAGGGCAATCCATAATTCCTATATTGAAGGAATGTGCCCCATACCCACATGCATAGCCTGATTACACAAACTGGATTCATAAGTATAACAGTTTAACAAAGGATAGCACTTGAGCAGTTAAATTGTAGTCTGTTTCTCGTTTCAACAGCATTTCAGATTTAGGTATGCTGTTCTTGATTTTGTAGAAAGCAGGAGCGGCAGATGGCCAGACATTTTGCAATGATACCAACTGGACAGAGCATCATATCTGGTGAAGGTGAGTAGATTGAGGATCTGCTGCACGTCAGAAAGCCCAGATGTTGAACCAATGCACAAAATTAGGGTCTTTTTAAGCAGTATTGAAAAATGTTCATTTGTAAGTACTATAAAGCCTGTGTCTACTGAAATGGTTCAAGAAATCAGGGGTTTAGGCCATCAGACTTCTAGAGTTCTTAGTCTGTCGTCGTTATTGGTTGAAATAAACTAGCAGTATCTTCAGAGCACTTTGTATATTGCTGCAAAGAGTTTAAGTTCATTGATTCTTGTCTTATGAAATACACATTCCATTTTGTCTTCAAGCTTGAATATGGAAAATCTGTCAAAAATAAATCAGAATCCTTTTTTCCCCATACTGACTGTGCCATCGAGGGCGGGACCCACAGGGTGGGTCCAGAACTGGGGAAGTTAAAGGAGAATTGATTTTAGCATCAGAAATCCTGGATATATATGCTTGGTGGTCTCCTTACAGGCCATCTGATTTGGGGGAAATTTTTTTTTTCTCAGTATCAAGTTCAATCTGTTGTTGAAAAGTTACCTAGGGTAAATATAGTTCTGTTTGTATTTTGTAACTAGATATCTAATACTACAGGAAGTTTCTTGATATTTACTTTTTCTTACTGAAACAAAAGGCCTAAAACTACTTCACAATGAAAAGAGTCCCCACTGCCTCTCTCCTTGCCTCCCTCCTTCCTTCCCTTCCCCCCCCCTCTCTCTCTGGAATTGTTCTTTTTTAAAAAGAAACCCCTCACTAATTTAATGAAGGCCCTTATTTTTCTCCCTTTAAGAAAGGTTTGATAAACCAATGCATTTGTAATGGGGCTTAAAATTTTATTTTAGAATAAAGTTTTAGAAATGTAAGGTTTATATGCGCTTTCATGTGACTCTTCTCTCACTAGATGCAAAGAACTCAAAAACTATTTCTTACCAACTTTCCATGGATGTGCCTAAGAAAGAAATAAGTGATAACACAGCTGATTTTCAGCTCAGCAATATATCCATTACTGGCTGTGATTCTAGGAAGGCATGTGGAAAGGTAACTTCAATTTTTATTTGTGATTAAAAAAAAACAGTTCTGCTTAAAACACATAAAAGCTCTCACAAAGCTTAGTTATATGACACGTTGAGCTATTCTTTAAAAAGAATTGGTACAGATTAGGGATGTCAACTTATACTACACCGTCTTATTGTTTTCAGTTAAGTTCTTTTTACCTTAGAATGTGATAGTTGCACATTAACCTTTGGAACCCTCCAAACATTAAAAGAAAGGGAGAAAAATCACCTAAGCCCTAACTACTTCCTCAAAAGAGTATTAGCATTGCAATATTTTCTATGTTCGCAATGCATCTCTAATGTTCCTGCAGTGAAAGAATAGACACACTTTAAAAGGGAGGCTCTTCCCCTATGTGATCCAACACAATCTCCACTAGGTTCTAAGAGTGAAGATTCTATAAATACTGAGGGAAGTCTTGTTAAGTTGATTTTAAAATTTATAGAGAGCTATGAAGAACGTAGACCTGCCAAGAGACCTCAATGCTGATGGGAGAAGAATGTGGTCTTCCAGATGCTAAGATCACCAGCAAGACAGTGATGAAGGCAGTGTGGTATGGGGGTCAAGCAAACCCACACACAGAAGGAACGGTCTATTATCAGACTCCTGTGTGCATACGTCCCTGACTCACAACAGCAGTGGAACAGAGAGGAAGGACGTACAGATGAGAGAGAGAGAGAGAGAGAGAGAGAGAGAGAGAGAGAGAGAGATGGATGGATGACAGATAGATGATAGATACATAGATAGATGATAGATACATAGATAATTTTCATTTTATATGTATGAGTGTTTTGCCTGCATGGATGTGAGTGCATCCATGTTGTGCAATGCCGCAGAGGTCAGAAGAGGGCTTAGGATTCCCCTGGAACTGGAGTTAAGGACGGTTCGTAGCCACCATGTAGGTGCTGGGAATCAAACCCAGATCCTCTGCAAGAGCAGTCAGTGCTCTTAACCGCTGAGCCATTTCTCCAGCCCCAGGAAGTCTTTTTAATATGTAATTCTGGATCAACTGGGAAGCCACGTTATTAGTGCAATTGGACCCACCACCTCAGACCATATATAAAAATCAATTTCAAGGAGATTAAATACCTGTCCTAGTTTGTCTTTCCATTGCTGTGACAAAACACTCTGACCACTACCAAGTTGAGGAGGAAAGGGTTTACTTGTCTTACATCTCCCAGGTTACAGTTCATCAGGGAGCCCAAGATAGGAACTCAGGGCAGGAACCTGGAGGCAGGAGCTGGAGCACAGGCCATGGAGGAACACTGCCTACTGGCTTGCTCCCCTGGCCCCTGATCAGCCTGCTTTCTTATGCAACACAGACCCACCTGCCCAGGGGTGGCACCACCCACCGTGGGCTGGGCTCTCCCACATCACTCCACAATCAAGAAAATGCCCCACAGACGTGGTCACAGGCCAGTCCAATAGAGGCAATTCCCCAATTGAGGCTCCCTCAACCCAGGTGTGTTAAGTTGACACTAAAGCTATCCAGCACAATACCTTAATATAAAATGCAAAACTAGTTTTTTTCTCTCACTTTTGAAAAGTATAATTTTTAAATAATTAATTGGAAATTTTGTACATGAAACAGCATACTCTAGCACTTATCTGAAGTATTCCATATTTCATATATAAAAAAGTAAAAAAATGTTTTTTTATTTCTAGATGGGACAACACATTTCCAAAATAAATGGCACCATTTATGTGAAACCTTAGATTGTTTCATAGTTTAGCCCTAGAAATTCCTGTATTCATTTTAGTTCCATTCAAGATCAGGAACACAGAATTAAGTTGAATGAACTTCATTTTCACATATACTTGGAGCCACAATAAAGAGTGCACTTTCTGCATATCTTTCTCCATCATCTCAAACTCCAAAACAATTGTACTCAACTGAATTTCAAGAACAACCCTGAAGAGACACCAGCTACTATATGTTAACCGGGAATGTTTTCACATTATAAGTCAGGCTTATTGCTTGGGATGTACCTCAGCGGCAAAGCCCTTACCTAGCATGTACAGAGCCCAGAGTTCAATCCCCAGTGCTGAAAAATAAAATAAGTGTCCTGGTTTGTTTCTCCATTGCTGTGACAAAACACTCTGATCACAACTTGGAGAGGAAAGGGTTTATTTACCTTACAACTTCCAGGTTGCAGTTCATCAGGGAGCCCAAGGTAGGAACTCAGGGCAGGAACCTGGAAGCAGGAGCTGGAGCACAGGCCATGGAGGAACGCTGCCTACTGGCTTGCTCCCCTGGCCCCTGATCAGCCTGCTTTCTTATGCAACACAAGCCCACCTGCCCAGGGGTGGCACCACCCACAGTGGGCTGGTCCCTCCCACATCACTCATCAAGAAGATGCCCCTCAGACATGGCCACAGGCCAGTCCAATAGAGGCAATTCCCAAGTTGAGGCTCCCTCAACCCAGGTGTGTTAAGTTCACACTAAAGCTATCCAGCACAGTAAGTAAGTATAGGTCAAGTTTACATAATAATATTCACCTTTTCAGTGTTCAGCTAAGAAAGTCTACAGATTGTATAACCACCCCTACCACCAGCACAGAGACTGGCACTATTGTGCTGTGACTAGTTTTTGTCCACCTTTTGTTTTATTTCATGACAATGTGTATATGAAATAAAAAAATAAAAACTTCAAATAGGTAAATGATGACAGATGACAGATTTCCACCAGAAAGTTCTTACTAAGTTCTACTGCAGGGGTCAGGGACAAGTTTTTTTGTTTTTTTTAGAAGCATTTCATTACAGCTTTAACATACTCAATAACAGTTTCCAGAGCAAAGATACATCTCTTTCAAAAGTGACTATAAAAATTTTAGGTTCACAGTTTAATTAATACAGTTATACAATATAGAACTCAGTATAAACCCTGTAAGAGATAAAATTGAATGAGTTTTTAACCTTTAAAAAAGATCTCTATTTCATTTTAAAATATGTTTTTATAGACTTTTCTTACAGAAAGACTCAGTTGTTTTTGCTCATACGCTGAGATGTTGGCGCATGTGTCTCTAATCTGTATGTATCTGATTATTGCTAGTCATAATTGGTTGCACTTGGATCCTTGGCACCTGTGTATGTCTATAAAGTCATCTGGTAGATTTCAATGTAATGTTTATCACCTCTACTAATTAACATGATGCAAATTTTTATGCTTCCTCCTCTTTTTAATTTGTTGATTTTTTTGTGTGTATCTCAGCTACATTGTGTGTGTGTGTGTGTGTGTGTGTGTGTGTATCACACAGAACAAGGGACAAGTTTTAAATGATCGCTAATAATTGCCCCTGTTGTTGAAGCAGGGTCAAACATTTAAATCAAGAAAGTCTGTGACACTATCCAGCAGTCAAGCAGTATCAGGTCTTCCAGGCTTTAGATGTGAACAGCCAGCTGTTGTGTGTTCTGTTCTCTGTGGAATGCAGGTTGTGAGGAATGAGCTCTTCGAGAAGCACTACAAGCACGGAAGCAAGTTTCTCACTTCATTTCCAGATGGGACAACACAAATATTGTATCCTTTCTTTCCATTCTTCAGAAAAGAGAGGTGGGCAGGGCCTGGTGGGATAGGCCTGTAGCCCCAGCTGCTTGGGAGGCTGAGGCAGGATGGTATCAAGTCCATGACCTGTCTGGACAAATTGGCGTGATCCTGTCTCAAAATTGAAAATCAAAAAAGGGCTGAAGGGGACGGGCACTCAGGAGGCAGAGGCAGGCAGATCTCTATGAGACACAGGCCAGCCTGGTCTACATAGCGAGTTCCTGGCCAGCTGCAGCTTTGTCTCAAAAAGACAAAACCCACCACCACCAAAAAGGGATAAAGATGCAGCTTTATGGTTGAGTACTTGCCTAACATGTATGAGGCCTTGGGGTCAATTCCAGAAGTGAGAGAAAGAGAAAGAAAGAGGGAAGAGAGAAGGAAGAAGGAAAATACAGAAAAATATAAAGGAAAAATATATACTCCTAAATTCTACCATCCAGAAAAAAAGCTGGTAACCTTTTAAAATACATCGTTCCACCAGGCATGGTAGCATACACCTTTAGTCCCAGCACTCAGTAGGCAGAGGCAGGTGAATCTCTGTAGACCAGGCCAGTCTGGTCTACATGGCAAGTTCCAGGACAGCTGGGGCTACACGGAGACCCTGTCTCAAAAGACAAACTACTACTACTACAACTACTACTACTACTACTACTACTACTACTACTAATAATAATAATAATAATAATAAGTAAATATCTTCCCTTGCTTCATCTTTTTCAATCCATAAGCTTACAAATATAGTTCTTTAAAATCAACTCAACCATTTATTTCATTTTGCAACTGGTTCTTTAATAGTACCCGACTACACAGTACTGTTACGAGTACGTAACATGCAATAACCGTAGAACTGCAAGAGTTTTCATGCCACACAGTACTTAATTCTATGAACGTACTGTAATGCATTGAGCTTGTTTCCTAGTACACCTCACGAAGCTGGGCTGACAGCAGTTACAACAGGTAGTCTCTGCTGCTCACTGAGAATTTATTCCCTACAATTGAATGCCTAGAAGTAGAAATTCTGAGTATGGGACTGGAGAGATGACTCAGCAGTTACAAACACTGGGTGCACTTGCAGAGGACCTGGGTTTGGTTCCCAGCACCCACATGGGGATAACAACTGTCTGTAATTCCAGTTCTAGGAGATCCAACACCCTCTTCTGGCCTCTACAGGCGTTGCATGCACAGGTGCACTTACACACATGTAGGCAAAACACATAAAATTTTTAAAGAATTTCTGAGTAAGAAATTTGAACATTTAAAGCTCTGGTAGATTTTGTCTCCCAGAAACTACATACCAGTTTCACATTCATGAAGAACTCACTATGTTTTAACCAAACATCAGCAAGCACTTCACTGTGAATCACTCAGATTCCTGCCTCATAGCCAGGCCAGGAAGCTTTGACATAAAAGCCACCTCAATTATCTGGAAAAACAGAAAAATCAAAAACCAAACAGACCATTTTTATGAACTGGGCACCTCCCTCTGTAGAAGATAGACTGGGGGGTGTTTTTATTTACTTATTTATTTATTATGATATATGTTTTAAAATTTGTTTTTACTGAATTTTTTGTGTATTTCATACAGAACATCTCAAACAATCTTAATCGTCTGTATATCCCTGTACCCACTGGCAACCTCCCATAGCCCCCCCCACTGGAGCCCATATACTCTGCCATCTCTGTTAAGGCCCACTGTGTCCTCAGTGTCCCCAGTTTATCCACAGAGATCTAGTCAGCCTATCTAGAGTCCCTTGTTTTAGGAAGATCAGTTCTTCTTCACCTAGCAGCAATCAGTTACCAATATTTCTTCAGACAAGATTGGGGTCTGCTGTTCATTTTCCCAGTTCTATGCTGGGTTACTGTCACCTGGGTTTGCATGGGCCTTATGTAATGCTGACACCATTGCCATAGAATCATATGAGCAGGTTCCCAGGAGCTTGTGGGACTCTGTTTCCATATGGTCATGCACCTCCTCCTTGGGAGGGAGGGTTATACAAGGAACCTTGGGGATAAAGGGAAAGAAGGAACTCAAGAGAGGTGGGACCATAGGAGAAGGGTATTATTAAGGGAGAAATGAGGAAAATGGGGACACTTTAAATGGGGAAACCATGGCGGAAGGTAGACAGTGAGAGAGGAGAATTAATCAATGCCTAGCTAGTTTTAAAAAACTGGAGGGAACTATATTAGTCCAACAACCTACTGACAAAATATGCATACATTATCTCTACATGAGTCCATGTGTATAGCTAAAGGCTACAGAACAAGAAACAGTGCCAGACAGGAGTAACCTTCCTTTGAGTTGGCCAGGGTGGTCCAAAAGACTCCCAAAATTACTCAAGCTATTGCCACAGCCCTTGATGGCCTCCCAGAACTTGAAGGTAAGACCCTTTTGCCAAAGACAGAACATACTTCAGACACAGGATTTGAAGCAATAGAACTGCAATTGACCAGAAAGCACTTCCCCTGAAGGCAGCTCTCATAGCTTTGGAGAGCGCTATGAAGGTGCCAAGGGAAAACATCAATGGATGATCCAACACCAGCTTCAAGACCAAATAACCATGTCAATGGCCAACACAGCATACGGCATTGGTGCAGTAGTGGCACTTTTATCTTGGGGGAGATCAACAGTTACCTAACTGGACTAAAAGCCCACTCAAAGGGAGAAAACTCAAGTGTGGTACTGTAAACATAACCAAATACACATGGCTGGAGTTGTCATAGATCTTAGAAGAAAACCCCAAGACTGTCACATCAATAGGTGATCTTACTATGTATAAAATATGTGTCCTTTTATTTACAGACAAATATCCCAGTCATCACGCATCAAAGAAGTTCATTTTACACCAGTCAGAGATTATTACCAGTACCACAACATGGACAATGTCTATGAATTGCCCAGGCCTAAGTGACACATCTATAATGCAACCTCTACACCTAAGGCTCATGGAACATAGAACAGGGGTAAAGAGGAGGACACTAAAGAATCTCTCAGTTCTCAATCATGAAGCTTCCTTATTCAGCAGAGGGCCAGGAACACAAAAGTCACAAATGGCCAAGCGGTAGAGATCAAGTCTGCTAAATTATGGTCCTTGGACAGGACTCCTTTATTAAACTTCACCCACCCAAGGCTCAGGGACCACCAAAGAAGAGGAGGTGGAAAGGTCGTTTTTATTTTTATTTTTATTTTAAGGGTATGAGTGTTTTGCCTGTGTGTAAGTACACCTGTGCATGCAATGCCCATGGAGGCCAGAAGAGGGCATCAGATCCACAGGAACTGGCATTACAGACAGTTGTTAGGCTCGACGTAGATGCTGGGAACGAAACCTGTGTCCTCTGTAAGAGCAACCAGTGCTCTTAACCACTGAGCCATTTCTCCAGCCATGCCTCCAAGATAGAATTTGTAGTCAGTGTCCTAAATGTTTAGTCAAACTCTAAAAATAAACCAGAAAGTGACACTCCCAGAACCAGAAGTTTGATAAAGATTTAGACTCCCCTCCCCATGAGAAAAAGATGGGATTTTTAAATAATTATACCAATAAAACTTAAAAATATTACCCAAATTTCATTACTAGTTATTTTATACCCTGACTCTCTTAAACTCTCTTAAAGGTTGTGGCTGGCTTTCAAAATGATTAAGCATGGGTCTTGGCTTAATTCCATCTCTAAATAATCTTTAGATATAGACCAGATTAACAGTTGTGAGATGTGCTCAGTGTGTTTTCTAGTTTAACTGGAATAGCTTTCTTCATTTCCCTTTCAAAATTTTCTCTGCAACATAGAGAAATAGACTTTTTAAGCGTTATCTCATTTTATGTGTATGTGAGTACCTGCATTTATGTATATGCACTACATGTGTGCCTGATGTCCACAACGGCCAGAAGAGGGTGTAGGAACTGGAGTTACAGGCAGTTGTGAGCCACCATATCAGCGCAGAGATCCAAACCCAGGTCCTCTACAAGAGCAGCAAGTGCTGTTAACCACTGAGCATCTCTCCAGCCTGAGAAATACAATTCACTTTTGTATATTGATCTTGTACCCTCCAATCACAGTCCTGCTGAATTCATTCACTGGTGCTAATATTTTGTTTTATGGAGGCCTTGGGGGTTTCTATATATAAGAATTCCAAATACAGTTTACCTCCCTTTCCAATCTAGATAACTTTTCTTTCCTAAACTTGCTACACTTAAGAACTTCAATGCAATGCTGATTAGGAGGCAGCGAGATGGTGGGTAAAGGCACTGGTCATCAAGTCTGATGACCTGAGTTCAATTTCGGGGCCCCACATGGTGGAGGGTAAAGAACAGAGTCCTGTAAGGTGTCCTCTGACCTCCACATGCACTCTGTGGCATCTATGTAACAGAAATAAAAAGCATGATAAAATATTAATAATTGAGGGGTTGGAGAGATGGCTCAGTGGTTAAGAGCACTGACTGCTCTTGTAGAGGACCGAGTTTGAGTCCCAGCACCCGCATGTTGGCCAACAACCATCCGTAACTCCAGTTTCAGGGGATCCAATGCCCTCTTCTGACCTCCGAGGGCGTTGCATGACACAGGTGCACCTACCTACATGCAAGCAATATACACTCATACACATAAAATAAAAATAATAAATAAAGTATTTTTAATTAAAAAAATATTAATTGAAAGCAGTGGCAATAAACATCTGTATTTAAGTTCTCATATTAATGGGAAAACCTACCATTAAGTATGACTTTAGCCTATAGGGTTTGCATAAGCACCCATTAGCAGGTTGAGGATATTCTAGTCTGAAGTCTATGAAGTCTTATTATCATGAAAATGTACTGAAGTTTGTTAAGTGTTTTCTGTACCTATTGAGATGATAATGTTTTTTTTATTTTCATCAATACCTATTAATGTGGTATATTGTATCAATTAATTTTCAGATATTAAATCACCCTTACATTCTTGGGAGAAACTCAGTTTTGTCATGATGTATTATCCTCCTTGCAAATTGCTAAATTCTATTTCCTAGTATATTTGGTAAGAAATTTTACATTTCATAAATATATAAATTTTTTGTCTTTTTGAGACAGGGTCTCCCTATAGCCACAGCTGGCCTGGAACTCACTATGTAGACCAGGCTGGATTTGATCTCACAGAGATTTACCTGCCTCTGCCTCCCAAGTGCTGAGACTAAAGGCATCTGCCACTAAGCCTGGCTTCACTACACATTTTTTTAAAGTACTGGTGCAACATTCTGTATTATCTTGCAACTTTTCTGTAAACCTCAAAACACTCAAAGAAATATATTTATTATTTTTATTTTATGTGTATGTGTGTATTGCCTGTGTGTAGGTAAGTGCACCTGTGTTGTGCAATGCCGGCGGAGGACAGAAGAAGCTGTTGGATCCCCTGGAACTGGAGTTTCAGACAGTTGTTAGCTGCCATGTGGGTGCTGGGATTCGAAACTGTATCTTCTGCAAGAACAACCAGTGTTCTTAACCACTGAGCCATCTCTCCAGCCCCTCAAAGAAATATTTTTAAGTCACCAGTGTTGTAAAGATTATACCTGCTACGCGACAGAGCGTTTGTGCCAATAGGAATGCTTTTGTTTATAACGAAAGTGAGTGTTAAACACTCAACATTTGAACCTCGAGGCTAATTTTATTCATTATTTAATGTGAGTAGTTTATAAAATAGGGAAAATTGCTACCCCAAGGTTGC